AAACGAGACTTCCTTAGATTTCCACGACGCATGCGTGAGAATTGCGATCTCCTTACACTACTTCAGTTCAGTTCTCGCGCATGCGTCGTGGAAATCTAAGGAAGTCTCGTTTCTGGCCTACAAGGAAGAAAAGGAATAGTCGAATAAACTCGTTATTTTTGTTTGTTTTTTCGCACAAAAAGTATTCTCGTCGCTTGATAAACATATAGTTGAGCCACGGTAGTCACTTGGGATATTTAAACATTTTCTTCATTGACTTTCTGGGCCGTCAAGAGGCAGTCCCTTAGGCAGCCTATGTGGTAGTTATACAGCTCTCAAATTTAATCAAAAATATCTTCATTTGTGTTCCGAAGACGAACGAAGGTCTTACGGGGTTGGTACAGCATGGGGGTGAGTAATTAATGACTTAATTTTCATTTTTGGGTGAACTAACCCTTTAAAGGTTCCTAATATTGGTTCAGAGGTCCACTCCACTTACATGCATTCAAGTTTAAATGTCTCTTTAATTTTCTTATAAATAATATATTGTGAATTGCCTCATTTCTCCAAGAGTCTGAGTGCATTCATTTAGTGTCTTTTAACAACCTCTTTCTAAAAGCTTACTCTACTCTAATTGGTCAGATGGTCCAGACTGTTGGGATTAGTCTACCACTTACAGCGCATGTCGGAAACGAAATGCGTATTACCATATCTGAATTTCAGCTCTGGAGGTTTCCTCGGCAGTTGAATACACAGTGATATGAATGATGGCGCCGTTTTTTCCGGTCCTCATCTTTTGGATTGCATTTAAAGTGGATTTCCAGTGCTGAAAGCGTTTTCATTTCCAGCGTTGACAACACAAACCAAACTCTTCCATTCCTCAGCTACAACTACAGTGTCTGAGGGCAGATCAAAGTAGATGTCATTCACAGGCGCCCAAGGAAGAGCATAGGCTGGCATTATGCAAATTTGTTACATTGTTATTTTGGCATGTAACGACTCGTTAAATCAGTTCAGAATCCGTTCTTTCTTTTAGGAGACAATAGCTTTATTTGTCATGCATTTTGATCTTTAAAACTTTGCAGATATTTTAGCTTCACAAACTTCACAAAGTTGATACAACTGATACACAAACTGGTACAACTTTGGTTTTTCATTGAAATTAATATTAACTAAGAATAATAAATGCTTTTGAGTAATTTTTCATTGTTAGATCATGTTAACTAATGTATTTAACTAAACAAATGATACCTTATCATGATGTGTTACCAGTGTTTCTCATGGCAATGCCAACCTTTTTACCTGCCAAAGTCATACATCTAATCGCTAAATGCTATTTGTGACTTTATAGTCATACCTAGTTTATTTTAAAATACTCTAATGTAACTCCCCATTTATACTATTAATACGCACATTAAATGTAATAGGAATTTATATCAGTGTTTAAAGAAGCACATCAAATGTACTGAGCATGCATCTCGCGCTGCAACGTGTTTAGCACACACTGTTTCCCCCATAGTGTGGCTAGCAGGCTTATTACACCATCCTACCAATGGATTTAAAGCTGAATCCAGACAGATGTTATCTATGTCATCTGCTGAAATAGGGGGTAAATAGAATGGATGTTGACCTGTTGACCTGCACAACTGCTAATGGTAATGCATCCAGTCCAGCTGATGGCTAGCAGAGAGACCTTTATGTGAACTCAAAGCCAAATGCCCAAAACTACTGAATCTCAATTTAAAACATCTGAAACGAACAACTCACCACATTTAAATTCTCAAATTCACAAATATAATAAACAATATACTCATATATTTTGATATGAAAGAAGCATACTTTTAACACTAAAGAAGCATAATTTAAATTTTGTGCTAAAACATGTAACCTTGCTCTTAGATGTTTTTAAGTAGTAGTAGCATAACAAGAGTGAAGTTCCTTCTATAGAGGATAAAGTTAGGAGAAAGTGTACTGTTTAAATGGGGAAAAAATAGATAAAGCAGTAAAGAAAAGGTAAAGTAAAGGAATGTGTGCGTTTTCAGAGTCTCGATTCCAAAAATAGTATTTTGAGGGCTATTCTTTTTTTTCTTTCCTTCTTTGAATCAGATGATGGTCTATATACAAATGTTGTGGGTTGTGGCTTTAACTGATCATGAAATATGATCTGATTGTCAGCCAAAGGCAAGTTAAAATTCTGCCATCATTTACTCAATGTTTTTTTTTTTTTTTTTTTTTTTTTTTTGAGGTTCAATGAAGTTCAGTGTAGTTTTGGAACATATTAACTTACTTTCTGTGCACAAAAAAGTAGTAACAAAGTAGAAAGAGTTGAAAGCATGTTTTGTGACAAAAAAATATATATATGTGTTCGTATACATTTTCTTGCACTGTGAATGTTTGGTTTGTCTGTTTGAAACTATGTTTGCACTGTGTTTGGTCATTCATAATTTCACAGTTTGTGTCAGTTAGGTCCAAATGGTTAACTTATTTCCCCCCCAACAACATAGAAAAACATAATAATTTAAATGACAATATCAGCTAGACTGAATGTTATCCAGTTCAGATTAATCTTTCTCCTTTGCATGTTCTGTGACCACTTCAGCTGTAAATGTGTGTGTAGGAATTGTCATGTGCCATGAGTTCAGTTTGAGATTACTTTGAGTCAACTGGCCGTTCACTGCATGACCTTACCACTCAATCTGCTCTTTAGAAAAATTATTTCCAGGAATTTTGTACTGTCTCTTTTGAGCTCATCCTTGTTATTGGAGTTTATTTTTTTTATTTCACTGGCATATAATACACAATGTTGGATCTTAGACTTCTCTGAGTTTACCAATCCGCAGGAGTTTTTCATGGATCTACTAGAATATTAAATTGATATTGTGCCTATAAGATGAAAGTGGGTGAAGCTTGGGGGGGATTAAAATAGGCTGCATTGGGTGCAATATTGCAGATTGTTTCCATTTAGTTTCCATTTTAGTAAAATGTACTATTCATATTTCCATATGAGGTGGCAGACCAGGACATAAATACAGACAAACAGTCTCTCATGCTCAAGTTAAGTTTGTTAATTAATCAGAAATATTAAAGACAGTATTGTCTTTTAAAATTGAAATCATTATTCATACAGTATATCTTATTTTTTATTTGAACCATATCTCTATTGCACGTTTTATTTTATTTTAGCTCTTCTATGTTTGCAGCCTAATCTTGTCTAAAATTGCAATATATCAATAGTTTTCTTATGCACTTATGATAAGATGTTTTTAATGACAGCACTTTATGATTTACTGAGGCAAGCTAGCATTAAGTGGCCTCAAAAATATATGAATGAGCCTTTGCTATTTGGCAAAGTATCAAACCAAGTTACATTTATTTTTATTTTATTAAATATTGCTCAATCACACTTATATAAACCAATAAAATGTGTTTGTTTGGTTGCAAATTACAACAGAAAGGATGAATTACTGAAAAACATATTTCGACATTTTCTATTGGTCAAACACAGTATTGTTTATCTCGCAGCACACTCGTCTCACATTCTATATTTTTCATTATTAGGATACATTAAAAATAATTTTGAGGAAAATATCTATATCTATATGTTGCATGAATAACATTACAAAGAATGTTAACCCACTGTATACAATATAGTCAGGACAACAGTCTCATATTTACACAGATTTCTATAAATTTTGGGGGGAAATTGGAATGTCATCTATCACTAAACATGTTCCTTAAATCCTTACTTAAAAAACTGCTAAATTTGATCCAAAACAGTCAGCTGTGTGGGCAGACTCAGAGTGGCAGTGCTGCATTCTGGGATATTTAAATTTGGAGATTCAGAATATTTTCATGCCAGACATTTTGCTATGATGCATTTCTTAGTGTCATAAAAGGGCCAGTGTATGTGATATAATTATACGTTAATATACTGTATGTACCGTAGTAGGCTACTATATAGCAAATCTAAACTGCTTGAAAGTGATATATATATATATATATATATATATATATATATATATATATATATATAATGTATTTTAGTTCTAATTAGTATTGTAAGAAAACACTCATTTTGCCTGGTCAAAAACCGCTCTGTTTTCAGCACACTGTTTTAGTGCATGTGCCTTTAAATGATAATGAGCTTTGCTCAACTCCGCCCCTCTGTTCTTTGGGCGTTTTGACACAACGCATGTGGATTGTTGCCTTGACAACAGTTGAGGGTATATTTTGGAATAAGAATGGCAGCTGGAGTCTGAGGACACATCTGTGCAACCTTACCTATTTGAACAAGAGTCGGACCTGGTGTTCCCCACAACTAATCCTAAACCTACCAATGCTAGGGGGGTATTGGCGGGGGTCGAAATTCGGCACAATGACAGCCGCAAAAAAAATCGACATTTAAAGCTCGAACAGGACGTTTCTGAATGGTTGGTTAACGCAATGTTACTTTAATCTATCTTTGTATGCACTGGCAGGGTAGAGTAGTGAGATACGAACTGTTGTGTTTACTGATGTATAGGTTAGTTCGTTGACAGATTGATGTTACAGTTAATGGTCATGAACAACTTTTTTTCGCGATTTGCAAAGATTAATAAAAAGATTAATAAAACTTTACATTCACTTCTTCTGGAGGAGAAGCAAGAGCACAAATAGGTACCGATTATTTTTTTCTGGAGCAGCTTCTTAGCAAAACCAGCTTTATACTACTGACCCTTGTTTATAAAGCAGTCTGGTGAGAAATGATTCACGCAAACATGCAAGCGTTGACGTTGATCGTGGGGAATATTCCCTTGAAAGATCCACAATTTCGTTTGTTTGGTCGTAAGCGTCATCCAAAACAATTAACCACCCAAAAATGATTAAATAAAAAAAAAAAAATCAAATATAGCTACTGAGAGACATTTTGTTGGTGCACACACTGGACTATGTATACACACTGTATGGCATGAATAAAACATTACACATCTCTTTTAAAATAATCCCTTTCCTAATTCAATTGTCTCTTTGTTCTCCTGCAGAGCTGGACAGTCAGGAGATCTCGGATGCCACCAAATCCTCCACCCCATATCCGTTGTTCCTTCCGGTAACTTATCAGGTATGGGATGCTGAATACTTCCTACTAAAAGAAGCTGGACAGGACATCATGCGCAATTCCAGCATGCAGAGCCACACGCAGCCATTTGTCATGCTCCGAGCGGGACGTCTCCCAGTCATCAATGCCAGCTACGGCCCACTCTCAACCAAACAGGAGATCCCCCTGGACTTAGTGCAGTCAGTGCAGTTATTCCGGTCCTCACCACCAGTTTTCACCATCAACTGGAGAGTCCAAGCCTTCGTTCTGACCCGGTGGGTCCATTCGTCTTCTCCCAAAGTGCGAGTCCTGTTCTATGTGGCTGGGAGAGACTGGACAGAGGAGAGAAGGAGAAAGGAACAAAAGATGAGCTGCCGTGCGTGACTGTGTATGCCTTCTGGCAGACTCAGGAGGTCCGTGGTTCCTGTGTCATCCGAAATGAGCATGGAACCTGTATGGCCGAGGTTGACCCTCCTGCAAGCTGGTTCAGCCCGGTTGAGGGCAGCTCCAGTCGGGAAAGACAAGGGCCAACCCAGGGGAACCCAGTGGAGCTTTATTACCAGGCCCGTCCCAGTGCTTACGGCCCGTGCACAGCCAGTGGGGAGGAGGGCAAGAGGTGGGATTTGGGCAGTGGAAATGCCGGCAGCCTCAGGCTGAGTACATGCCCGTGACCCCCATGCAGAGAATCGGGAGTGTTCGGCTCCTGCAAGTCAAACAAGGGGCCATGCCAGTGTCTGTGCTCAGACTGAGAGAGTCTGTGGTCATCCAGACCTCCTCTAAACCCCTTAAAAAGACTGATATCGCTTCCTTTTATGTCTATGTGAAGAGCTCAGCCAACCTGGACACTTTCTCTCTCAGGTAAGTCCTGAAAAAAGACATTTATGCATTTAGTAACTTTTCCTGGAAATCAAATCCACAACCTTGTAATTGCTGACGCCGTGGTCTTTAAAGTGAGATGAAAGCCCCCCTGTTGTAGCCTGGTCGTTCAAACCACAGAGCTCAAGAAGTCTCAAGAAATTGGTGTGTAAATTGTGGAAAAGTGGGAGAGGGTGAGAAGAGAAGGGAAAACAACCAATAAAACACAGACCAGCAACACATTCATTATACAGACAAATTAATATTAAAATGTATGACCATGGAGGGGGAACAAAAAAAAAAAGGATTTAAGGACACCTTGATGCAACCAAAAAATATAACCCTATATATAACACTCACAAGAATTAGGGATAAATGCACATTTGAAGAAGACATGAGCGCATAAACAGTGCTGGTTCATGTTTAGATAACTAGAATATGTAAAATATTTCCATAAAAACTTGAAACACGTTTTCTCCGTATATGAACTGTATTATCCATGTTGGAAGCCATGATAAACTTATTTTATGTGTTCTGCGCAGAAACTACTCTAAGGCGCTCTCCCCATGTTGTTTGAATTCTCCACTGTAATGCAATCTCATGTGTAATCCAACATTGTGATTAGCTTGAACGAACTCTTTCTCATGAATAAATGCAGAGAACATCCCGATGGCCAGCTGACGTAGAATCGTGCCTGCAGCCAGTCACACACGTGATGGGGGGGGGGTTCACGACCCTTTAAGCTACTAAACAGAAATGCCTTACCACAGTTCTAATGCATTATGAAAAATATAATTATATTATCCACAAGTTTCCTACGCCCCATGAGGCCTTGCGTCAAAAGTGGGCGCGACTTCCGGTTGGAAGTAAACAAAGCGTGACTTGACATGCTTGACACTCGTTCATTCAACAGTTGAGAGTCATTCAAGTTATAGCGATCCAAACTAGCTAACGATGTGGGAACACAACCTCAACGAAATTAAAAAGGGTGAAATAACAGTACCTTTACCCTCCGCAGTCGTTGATTGGGAGTATTATAATAACATTATTAATTATCAATACTCATCAAGGCATGGTGACAGACAGATGTGCGAGCTGACAAACAATTCAAGTAAAAAAATACACACTTAGTCATTGTGCTTTGGAGTTTATTCAAAATTATAAATGAATGTGCTGCTTGAATACATTACTGGCACATTTGGTATTCTGTCAACACAGGCTTTGATCCTGAGTTTAGGTGTAACATCAGTAGCGAACAGCCAATCACATGCTGATAGAGTTTATAAAATATAAAGAATTAAAAAAAATGTACACAGGAAGATTCATCGTCTTTTGGGAGGTGATGGAAACTAACGTTACAGTCGTTGGCAGGATCAGAGACGGGCTCTGGCAGGATCACTCGTTTTCAGCTTATGTTCAAAACAATCACGTTTAAGCCACTGAACTAGTTTAGTCCGGTTATACATACAACCGCGAACACCACATATTGTCCCTGAGCTCCGTAACGACATCTCTCATAAAGATTTGCGTCTTTAAATAGTAAAATAATTCTCCGAAAAACAGCTAGCCTCTTCGCTAACTAACACACAAAATACCATTGGAATGCTACTTCCGTCACGTCACCGGAAGTTTCACCCACTTTATTTTTTACAGGAGCGCCCCTCGGAAACTTGTGGATAGTATATTGGGAACAAGATCTTTAAACGTACAGTATGTGATTTTTGGCCACTAGGGGTCACTCGTTTAAAATAATAACAAAAGACGTACTTTGATGACGTCGGGAAAGAGCGTGGGCTCACAGGAGTTGTTGTCGCTGTCAATGACAACCAGCTCAGCTCATGACATCATCGTTTCACAAAATATACGGATATACAGCATCTCTCTGTAGATTTAGCTTGTCAAGAAGCTTTAAATGCAACCCCAATGTTTACCTGTGTCATGCTTCTCCTGTCCCAAACCCTTCTCGGGTCATATTTTTCAGGTACGTTTGAGCTTTAGCTAATGAGCTGGCTGTAGCAGCAGAACGTGCAGGCAAAGCGTAATCGTGGTCCATAACTATAATACAGACGAATATAAATATTTATATTACGCTCCTTCAATGAATGACCTATTTTAGAACATTTTTCATATATAGAGCGCACCGGATTATAAAGCACATAAGATACTGCAGTCTAACGTTTGACTGGGTTTGCATTATTCATCCACTATGTGCTAAAGGGAATGTAGTAAGTGCGCGGCGCCGGAGGTGAGGCGTTTATTTAGTAAGCATGAGAGAGCTGGGCACGTGATTTACACACATAAAAATACGTACTACTTTTTTTTATTCGTCATTTTCTTTGCTTTATTGGCGGTAGTCCAGTGTTCCCCTTTGTGTTTGGCGGTTTCACCGGGTTCCGCAAGGAAGTTAGAGAAAATAGAGGAGTCAAAGGTTATATGACGCCATAGACGGGCGACGAAACGGAAATAAAGAAACGTCCCGTGTCTTCGAATTAAACTATAAATTTCTCCGTATTTGAAATTTGGTGGAAACTGTCGGGATAATGTAAGTACACATCACTGCAAAAGTGGGATTTTCGTCCCCGTAAACTGCCGGAAATCTCCCTAATTTTCGGCAGTTAACGACAATTTACAGACTGTGAACGTCGCGTTCCACTGTGCCACATATTGACGGAAACGAACCATGACGTATGCATGCAGCGCTCGCGGAGGTGCGAATGGCCCTAATTAGCATATGAATAGCAGCACTGCGCGTGCCTTGCCAGAGAATGGCTTGAATTCACTCGGTATTGGTTGAAATTCACTACATTTAAACAAGAAAATCACTCGTGATTGGTTGGCAGATCTGTTACTATTGGTCAGCCGACATAAAATTATAATAATCATATATATATATATTCATATGATATGCTATTATGTTGTTTATTCATGTCATTGTTATCCTATGGACTAAATTATTATTACCATCAAGGACATGAATTTATTGAGGAAAGGAACATTTGCCACATACTGTTTATTCAAAGAAATAGCTTTATTAGAACAAACACAAAACTATGTACACAGCATAGGAGAACATCTTTCAAAGCACAGAAAACATGTCCTCCACCCTCTGGAAACATGGGACAACATACATACATACAGCACTACAGTTATACAAATAAATCAATAATATATTGCATCTCTATTCAAAAATAAATTGCCCTGAATGGCATCAGAATTGGGCACCAGATATATCAAACACAATGTACAGTGGAGCCAGAATTATGAACGAATAATAAGGATGTAATTTAAAGGTATGGTTCACTTTGAAATAAATTTTTGATATGTTTTATCTTATCTCAAGGCCATCCAAGATGCAGGTGGTTTTGTTTCCACAGTATTTTCCATTTTGATATTTTTAGGTCAAACTGTTGTTGTCTGTCAGTCATATAATGCAGGTCTATGGTCACCACCTCAAAGAGCATGCACAAAGAAGACCAAATTAAACATGATTTAATGACTCATAAATTAAGTACACAATGATTGACTAAGACACGAAATGAGCGTTTTGGGAAAGAAAACAAACAGTATTTATATTGTATAAATGTGTGTGTGTGTATATATATATATATATATATATATATATAGATATAGATATACACAAAATGCAATACATCTTAATATGTTTAGATCTTCACAGTAAAACTTCCGAAATCTGTGTAAACAATGAGTGACGTACCAGTGCAAGATCGCTTCTGGCGGTTTCCACCGCATGCGCAGATCATATATATATATATATATATATATATATATATATACACACACACACTGTTCATTTTCTCACACAAACCGCTCGTCTCGTATCTTAAGCCATCAACGTGTACTTACAGTTACGAGTCATTAAATCATGTTTAATTTGTACTTCTCTGTGCATGCTCTTTTAAGAGATCCCCATAGACTTCCATTATATGACTGACTGATGCCCTTGACGTAAGCCAAAACATTTCAAAAAATAATTTCAAAGTGAACTATCCCTGTAAAACTCTTAATTCAAGTCCTGTAGGCTTGGCTCATCAGGGCGAAGTGAATTTAAGTCTTTGCGACGCGTGCTTGAGGTTCACCTTGATGTACATACACCTCAGTGGCTGTGGAACCGAATTTCATGACCCCTTCTGCAAAGTTGAAAAAGACAAAAGATTTAGATGTATGCAAGGCAATCTGCCCCCACATTTGTAAGCAAAAATATGTTTCTTCTGCATCCACTACCTGGTTTCCTTCAGGCGATGGCGGATGTCGACCAGTAGTTTCAGGACCTTTTTCTGGAACACTGAAATAAACGAACACATTTGGTGATGTTTACAATGCTCTAATTAGAATAACAAAGTTTGCTAGCTCACAAGAGAGAAAGTGTCTATTAAAAGTGTCTTCTCCACTGCCAATAGATCAACACTTACCACCAGGTTTCAGTCACTGCATCTCCCAGTCTCAGTCACTGCATCTATACCACAAAAAAATGTGTTTTAAAAGTTATTATCAAATGATGAAACTGAACAGATTTATAAGATATTTAAAAACTTGGTCAAACATTTATAACTGAATATAACATGCCATGTTCCAGTTCTCTTTGGCGTTTTCACCACTGTCTCACGCTCAAAGTCATCTATAAACACAGACGTTAATCCAAATTAGTTTAGTTTTACTTTTTATTTGACTGGGGTCTGTTCAAAAGAAAAGAGGATGAGATCACAACACGTAACGTTACCTTATTTAGGTGTTTTTTCTCCCATCAGCGAAGGACACCTCACTCCTTACAGCCCCTGAGAGACAAAACAAATCACAAACATCTGAAGATTTCACTCATCACACAAAGTGATGCAATTTTACAAACAAGGATAGCCTACACTAGAGCATACAAGCACATTACGCGCTTTATGTTTTATGATCCTGGCACTTATTATTTTTTCATAATTTCTGACGATATATTCAGAGTAAATGAGTTAGTTTGATTACTATCAAAGAATGGTAGC